ATCTTCATCGGTGTTTCTCCAGACATACCAGATGACAACGTTCGAAATTTGGATAAAGAACAACATCGATTGAGGATACTACCGTCGGGACGGTCGATGCCTTCGACCGTTATGCAAGCACGGTCTACCGTTCCTGTCTTCTTCAGCAGCAGCAACCGCCAACGATCGATGGACGCGATGCCGGGTGATTGTGAACAGTAACTACGGAAATTCTTAGAGTTTAGGCTTTGATACCATGAAAGAATTGTTTAAGAGGAAAAACACTTGTATATGTTTCTGTATCTCAATATACATGGATGAGTTACATATATAGTGTAGAATCCTAGGTAATAAAGGAAACTAAATAATATATACGAAAATATTTCCAAATCTTCTCAATCTTCTCTTTCCATTTACAATAGGGCACCCCTGGTAGAAGAAAGGGAAGGACTGATATTGCATCTTGATAAGATCAGCCACACGCTGAATAGTAATATGTGCACTTTTGGGATGCATGTAAAAGGAGCTTTTATGAGTGCTAATAAGCTGTCCAGAGATGTGTTCATAAAGATGAAGATCCTTCATAATATGGAGCACTGAGTTTTTCCTGCCAGATGTGAATATAATCATATCATCCGCGAAAGCAAGGTGACTGATGGGCTGAATGGCATGTGGTTGAGAGAAAGGGATGGCACCAGGAGACTGAATTTTATGATCAAGGAGTTGGGATAAGAAATCTGCAGCAATAATGAAATGGCTAGGTGATAGAGGATCTCCTTGCCTTAATCCCCTTGAAGAAGTAAAGAAGCCCTCTCTCTGTCCATTAATAAGCATAGTGTACTAGATATTAGAAATCATCCTAAAGACCAAATCAATCCATTTCTCACAGAAACCCATTTTTCTTTAGACTTTTATCAGGAATGACCAAGAGACCCTATCATAGGCCTTGGCCATATCCAGTTTCAGGATGATGTCCCTATTACCCAATTGCATACCATGACATAATTCTTGTGTTATAAGAATATTTTCAACAATAGACCTCCCTTGGATAAAACCAGTTTGAGATGGGGATATCACATATGCCTAAAAGCATGTCTAAAACCAGTTTGAAATGTTTTATTTCATTTCACTTGTTTTTCTATATTATGCGAGAGTTTAATATTTAAACATAATTTTAGTGAAAAACTACTCTTATCTCAAATAAATATAATTAAATGATGCTTGTTTACAATACTGTACATTTTGTAAATTTGATTTTATTTTGATGTATAGTTTTGAAAGACGTAATCTTATGACCTGCGAGAAATGACGATGTTGGTGATGGTTCTGTCCGGGTCGGGTTCCAATTCCATAAATTAATGACATTGATAAGGAAGAAGTGGAAGATGACCTTGGCCTGTACACAGAGGTGACGGGGAACAAAAACAATAGGGTCTTTAGGAGGGGCTGTGTAGCTGGTGCTTCTCGTGCATTGTCTTCTGGCGAGACTAGCTACGAAGACTATTCTGTCCAGCTGAAGAGCGAATTGGGGCAGAAGTTAGAGAAGAATTTTGAAGAAAAATTATGGAAAAAATGCCAATCTTGAGAAGAAATATGAGGCTCAATCCCAAGAATTGTTAGCTCAATTTCAGGGATTGAAGGATTCGGTCAATATTTTGACCCAAGGCCTGTCTTCTTCTCAAGTTTGGCCTTTAATGCAACCCCCCGAAGTCCAAGCCCTCTGGTGAATCAACATCTCACCCCTTCTTATTTCTATGCCTCCCAACCTCTAATTCCAAATGTTCAAAATTTATCTGAAGGACACAGTTTAAATTACTGTGATGTTAACAATTTTTTGAACACAAATAATTTTTAAAACTACTTTATTGTGATTTGTTTGCATGTGATTGAGATTATTTCTTTGTGATATTCAGATGATGATGACTGTCCATGATGTGATTTATTAGGTGCTTTTAGTGTTGCATAATTATATTAATATCTGCTGATTTTTAATTTGTTTAAATTTTTTTAAATTGTTTTAGGCATGGATATGTTTGTGACAAAATATTCAATTTTTTAAAAACTTTTCACGGGTTGAAATTTTTTATATATGCACCTGATCTGATTTTTTGTAGTTTTGATTTGCGATCTGATATGATCTGATTTTAATAAGATTAAGAAAAGTACAGAAAAAATAAGTTGAACGGAAGGGTGACTTAGTTTGTTAGTGGATTAAACGTGGGAATTCTCAATTCGAAAAGACAATTTCTTAAATTATTATTTTTCTTGAAAATTTCGAGAATAAAGATGTTGGAGTTTTAATTTTAAAAATACAGAGAATAGAAAAAATGGAGTTTTGGGGCGGGACCAGAAAGTATAGGCCCCCTCTGATTGAATATATAGACCATCTATGGCAAAAAGCTTACTAAAAAGAAGAAAGAAATTCAAAACGCATTAAAGAGTGGGCAGCGCTGGCTAATCGTCTTCTAAAAGCACTGGACCGAGCTGAGCTAATATAATACAAAATTCCTCAATCAATTAACCAGCCCGGGCAGTTTCAATTCGATGGATTCGAGGGGGAAGGAGAGGAGCTCCGGCGCCG